CCAAAGAATAATTAACACATGGAATTCACGGCCGCAAGAAATGGTAGTGGCTACAAGCATAGACAGCTTCAAGAGGGGATTGGATAAACATATGGAACAGAGGCCCATCAGTGGCTATTAGTCACAAGGTACAGATGGAAAACTGTGTCTGTGGCAGTGATGCTCTGAATTCTTGGTGGTTGGGGGGCAACAGTGGGAGGGCTTCTGAAGTTTTGGCCCCACTGATGGACCTCTTGATGGCATCTGGGTTTTGGCCACTGTATGACACAGAGTGTTGGACTGGATGGGCCATTGGCCTTATCCAATATGGCTTCTCTTACGTTCTTATGTTTTTATCCAACAATCCATGTATGGAAGACGGATGAAGTTTTCCCACATTCCTTTCTGTTCCTGTTCAAAATCAATATCTGATTGTGCGATGACTTGACAACTGATGACATTGTGACTGTGAAGTGTCTGCTGTGAAATGTTTTGTGCTTGAGATAATGCGGAAGCTGTTTGTGGTGTCTGATCTTCAACGGCCATTTTTAAAATGCAAGCCGGCATTTGATAATGTGTTTGCCGAGTTTTAAACAAGTCATTTGTTTAAACACTGTAAACTCCTCTCTAGCATCCTTTGGGTAGGCCCACGGTGGGGGGTGGGGTGGTAGTAGGAGGACAAAACTACCGGGAGTTCGGTGAGACTCTGGTCTGGCAGCAGCTATAAATTCAGCAGCAACTTGTCAATATTCTCCCCAGATTGTTCTCTTCTTCCCACTTCCCTTGTGTACCTGCACAGTCAAAAGGGTTGCCAGCCTCCACATGGGACCCGGAGATCTCCCAGAATTACAACTGATGTCCAAATGACAGAGATCAATTCCTCTGGAGAAAATGGCTCCTTTGGAGGGTGGACTCTATGGCATTATGCCCCACTGATGTCCCTCTGTCTCCCAAACCCCACCTTCCTCAGGCTCCACCCCCAAACCTCAAGGGATATCCCAACCCAGAGTGTGGCAACTCTAACACAGAGCAGGCTTCCCGACTCTGGGTTGGGAAATACCTTAAGATTTTGGGGGGTGGAGCCTAAGGAGGGTGGGGCTTGGGGAGGGGAGGGACCTCAGCAGGGTGCAATGCCATAGAGTCCACCCTCCAAAGGAGCCATTTTCTCCAGGGAAACTGATCTCTGTCATCTAGAGATGAGCTGTAATACTGGGAGATCTCCCAGCTGCACCTGGAAGTGGGCAACCCTAAGAAGGAGTGGGGGAGTCAGGTAGTTCTTGACCTGTGCCTGCTTTAAATGCCTGCTGCATGGCAACACTGGTATCCTTGGACAATGACCCAGCCCACCGAAGTCTGAGGTCTGGCCTAATAGCGGCTAATAATTGGCCCAGGCGAGCCCGACCTAGTCTGGTCTTGGAAGCTAAGCAGAGTCTGCCCTGGTTAGTACTTGGATGGGAGACCACCAAGGAAGTCCAGGGTTGCCATGCAGAGGCAGGCAAGGCCAAATCACCTGTTTGTCTCTTGCCTTGAAAGCCTTATGCGGTCGCCGTAACTAAGCTGCAGTTCAATTGCACTTTCCACCACCAATTGATTAGCTGCAAGTCACATGATTTGTTTTCATTACAATGTCCGGGATGGGTCAAGATGGAACAGAGGGAGGTGGAGAGGGAACCTCTGTTTGACTCTTGGTAGCCCTGCCCTATTTCTGCATCACTTCACGGGCATTAGAAAAATCATCACTGCGCACTGGGGAAACAGCCCACCCACATTCATGTGGCAGCAATACCAGACTTTAGGCATGGATCTGACAGGCCAGCGGACAGGCCTTGCATCTAGAAAATTAAAACATGGTCTTATATGGTCGGTTGGCCTACATCACGCCTACAGAGCATGGGATCCACCAGGCCAACAGCAGCCACCATAAGAACATAAGAGACGCCAATGTTGGATCAGGCCAAAGGCCCATCCAGTCCAACACTCTGTGTCACACAGTGGCCAGAAATACCAGTGCCATCAGGAGGTCCACCAGTGGGGCCAGGACATTGGAAGCCCTCCCACTGTTGACCCCCCCCAAGCACCAAGAAGACAGAGCATCACTTGCCCCAGAGTCCCTATCTATACCTTGTGACTAATAGCCACTGATGGACCTCTGCTCCATATGCTTATCCAATTCCCTTTTGAAGCCGTCCATGCTTGTAGCCGCCACCACTTCCTGTGGCAGTGAATTCCGAGTGTTAATCACTCTTTGGGTGAAGAAGTACTTCCTTTTATCCGTTCTAACCCGATCACTCTGCAGTTTCATGGAGTGCCCACGAGTTCTTGTATTGTGAGAAAGGGAGAAAAGTACCTCTTTCTCTACCTGCTCTTTCCCATGCATAATCTTATAAACCTCGATCATGTCACCCCTATCAGAACGTTCAGTCAGCCTTCTGTTTTTGAGGCCTGCATGGGAAAGGAACACAGAGGACGTTCAAGAGCTGCGTTGGTCGTAGCAAAGCTCTGGTGGGCTGCATTCAGCTTGTTTCATGTTGTCCGCAGTAGAACAGCTTCATTCAAGTCCAGTAGCATTTCAGAGACCTACAGGATCTTTGGGGTAGAAGCTTGGTGAGCCAGCATGGTGTAGTTGTTCAGAGTGGTGGACTCCAATCTGGAGAACCAGGTTTGATTCCCCACTCCTCCACATGAAGCCAGCTGGGTGACCTTGGGCCAGCCACAGTTCTCTCAGAACTGTCTCAGCCCCACCCGCCTCACAAGGTGCCTGTGGTGGGGAGAGGAAGGGAAGGAGATTATAACCACTTTGAGACTCCGTAAGGTACAGAAAGGTGGAGTATAAAAATAAACTCTTCTTCTTTTTCTTTTGACAGTTAAAGCTCCCTTCATCAGGGACTCTCAAAAGTGTACACCCCCTCCCCGCAAAATCTTATTGGTCTCTAAGGTGCCACTGGACTCCAATCTAACAGTAGCTAGTTTGGTAAGTCACAAACTGAGTAGGTCTGGTCTACATATTGGGAAGCAAAGGTCAAAGGGTAGTTGCTGTTCAATATTTTTTTTCCTGTGCATGTATGTTTGGCCTTTAAAAACAGAACTGCTCTATTTCATAATTCTTATAAGAATGGGCATGGAACAGTTGTCACTGGGGGTGTGGAGGGGGAGGTATTTGTGTATTTCCTGCATTGTGCAGGGGGTTGGACTAGATGACCCTGGAGGACCCTTCCGTGATTGTATGGTGCCTTCTCCAACAGAGTCTTCTCCAGACAAGACCAATGTTCCCTCTAAGCTGTGGAGTCTTGTGAGCAAAAGTTCTACTTTCTGAGCGACTGGCATTAAAGTTGTGAGGGAGCGATTTGGCTACTGCATAAATCAGTTTGCTCTGGAGCCATCCTTCCTGAGCTAAGACAAAAATGTGTGAGCTGGAGGCTACAAAATTGTGAACTGGCTCACACCAACTCAGCTTAGAGGGAACACTGGACAAGACCCACTGATATGAACGAGAAGTCCTGCATGAGACCAACTGTTGGTTGGATTCTGAACAAAATAAGGGATGGAGCAGCCATCCAAATTCTCTGCCAGGTTTGAATAAACAAGGCCATTCTGCATAAGAATCTAGTCAAGCATCCCATGGACGTTTATTCCTGTCAGATGAGACTAATGAAGAGCAGGAGCTCCTTGCTAAAGATGAGCTGTATGGAGGGGACACCTCATTAATTTGAAGGTGGGCCTTTGTTGTCCCACCTGTCAAACTCCCGCGATATTAATGTCCTTTTCTTGCCATCTCTGGCGCAGGGTGGGAGTCTCTTCCCCGGTAGGACTAGCAGGGCTGTTCGCTTTGAAGCCGCTTCATTTTCATTTTCTGCCTCCTCGCCGTTCTAAGCTTTTTGGTCTTTAAGAAACTATCTTCTAATTGGTATAGGAAGTCTTCTATAATTCCGACCTGCAGGGAAACATCAAAAGAATAGAGGCTGTCAGACAACGTTGCACCCGCCTGGTTGCGTATACTCAACATCCTTTGTTGTATGGATTCTATTCTTTCCCAATTGTTGAATTTGTACAAAATAACTGAAAACGTAGAAACTCTACCTCAAGTGCATCTTTCACACCCATCCTGTGAACTGGACCTCTACCATCCCCATTTTACCGGCGGGGAACAGAGTCTGAACCACACTGCTTTGCTTAAGATAAGAGGTGTGCCTTTCCCATGGAAAAAGATGAGGTAGATATGCAGACCTGAATGACCCTGACCTAGATGGGTCAGGCTAGCCTGGTCTTGCCAGATCTCAGAAGCTAAGCAGGGTTGGTCCTGGTTAGTACTTGGATGGGAGACCACCAAGGAAGACTGGTGTTGCTACACAGAGGCAGGTGAGGGCAAATCACCTCGGTTAGTCTCTTGCTTTGAAAACCCCACAAGGTTGCCACAAGTTGGCTGCGACTTGATGGCACTTTCTACCAGACATGCAAAGCTATAGATGCTCTAATACAGTCCCCTCCCAAGACACTCTTTACTTGGGACTGGTAAGGTAATGGCTTGCATTATGATTGCACCCAGGTATCACTGGGGGGGGGGGATTCAACCGGGACATTGTGAAAGAGGAGCTGAACCTGTTGCCCAAACTGCAACACAACCAATATCCAGCCTCAGGATTGCTTGGGAGCAAGGCAGTTCGGGGCCAGGCTTTCCCACTTCTTCTCAGTGAGGTCATGGAGGGCAAGAGAGTGATGCCCAGGGTATTGTCCCTCTGCCACGTCCCTCCAGAAAGCTCTAGTGAAGAACTCTTTCATTTGTTGTGAGGATTCTCTGGGCTCTTAGGAGTCAATTTTTTGTATTGTTGCTCTGGTATGAGTATTAGAGCCACAAGTATTTGGGTGGGGAGGAATGATGGTGGGAGAGTGCTGGGAGACCATTATGAGACATGGTTATTCTCATCACAGTTCTATAAAGTCACAGAATTTGCTGCTGAAGATACAAACTTCTGTGTTGCAAACAGGAATGGTTCTAAAACCACTAATAGACAACTCTAGTGAAGAACTCTTTCATTTTAGAGTTGTCTATTTTGTTGTGAGGATTCTCTGGGCTCTTAGGAGTCAATTTTTTGTATTGTTGCTCTGGTATGAGTATTAGAGCCACAAGTATTTGGGTGGGGAGGAATGATGGTGGGAGAGTGTTGGGAGACCATTATGAGACATGGTTATTCTCATCACAGTTCTATAAAGTCACAGAATTTGCTGCTGAAGATACAAACTTCTGTGTTGCAAACAGGAATGGTTCTAAAACCACTAAACGACCTCCATTTTGGGTGGGGGACTTGTAACTGTGTGTCAATGATGACAGATCCATGTGGGATGGACAGAAGAACACTTAACAACACAGGAGCCAATGACAATGGAGCCCAAAGAACCAATCAGGGCTCTGGTCTGGGAAGCAGAGTCAGTTAAGATTTGACAGTTGGAAGATATGAAACAGATAGGACACAGTTTGGTGAAGTGGTTAGATTAACAGGATAGTGGGCTAAGGACAATGTGTAGGGTTCAAATTCAGTTAACATTTCCCCTCAGTTTGTGTCATTTCAGGAAAGCTTTAATCTTGTTCACATTTTAAAATAGAAAAAGCCATCTTATCTCTCTCAAATTACCTCACCCCTCAGTTATTAGCCACAGTCTCGGGTAGGTTTTATGTACAAGCCAAACTTCTATTCCAGAACGTTATTCCCACTAGAATCCCCATTCCCCAGTGGGGAAGGCGGGAAACTGACAGTCCTGTGGTTGGTGTCTGGTGAGGTGAAATTTTAAAAGGGACTTGCCCCAGGAAGCATCACAACATGGCTACAGATCCTCAATCCCATCACAGAGCTACGTTTCCAAGATATCCTTGGCTGGATGCCGAGTCCATTAAACACTGGAAGTGGTTTAAAGCTGTAGGCCAGAGATGCCTTTAGGTTCCAGGCAGATTTGGATTGTGCAAATTGATGCCTGAATACATTCCTCGTGTACTTTGAAAGGCAGCATCTTTTTGGATCAGTACTGTAAGGGATATAAGGGCTTATGCCTTTATGCATTGTTGCCTTTAGTGGCTCTCTTCAGCCTTTTGAAGAGAAATGGCACCATCTGACAAATCATGCTGCAAGAGGCTCTGGGTGTGTGCATGCATGCATACATAGTGTTCTTTTTGCTCCCTCCGTGTGGATTCTGTTATTTCCCTGATGTGGGATAGACTGATGATAGTGCCTTCATTCAGCTTGCGCACATTGCCGCTGGGAATTTATCAAAATGCTGTCTTTAACTGGCATTGAAAAACAGCCACTTTAAAAGGAAGGCACGCCGGGAAAATTAATCTTGAGCAAGTTTTCCTGATAAGAAGAGAATGGCAAGAGAGCGAGCGCCGAAGCTTCTGGCGTTTGCAGGCTGAAAGGCAGTGCGGAGAGAAAAATGCGCATTCCACATTCCCATGGCAAGGACCATTTTTCTATTAAATCAAAATGAAGTTCTGAATAAATATATTTTCCCTGAGAAATATCGTTCACCAGAGGGTTCGCTAAAAGAATAAAGGATGCAAAATAACAATTCTTGCAGGCTCCATCCATCTTCTTTGAGAACAATCCAATAATTATTCCAAAAAAGTGGCATATTGAAATGTCTTCCCTCTGCCCCACCGCATCATGAAGAACTTTAAGATAATTTAAAATAGCACCTCTGTCATACAGATGTGAACTGAATCCAGCTGTCCCATATGGATCTTACATATACATATCTGCATAGCTGCACACAGTCATTGTTTATATTCAAAAGCACCGCTGTTCTCAGAAATGTAAATGGCCCAATAAAGCAAGCACAGGATGACTTGAGAATTTACAATTAATTAGACACTGTCACCTCATATCCTCGGTTTTTCCAATATATTGATAGAGGATCAATCTTCCTATTGGACTGCAAACAGCTGCATTCCTTTTATATATATACATACAATGCATCATTCTGACATCAACTTGATGGAGAACAATCCCACTCCATCGCTATAACACCCTGGCACTGCAGTATATGGATCAATCTGAGCACAGTTTACCATTGCAACTACTTAAAAGGTAGGACTTGCATCGCTGTGTGCAAAAGTGATTTAAAAACTGCACGCCATGGAAGCTATATCAGTTAGCAATGGAATGATGCGCTGTCTGCTCCGCTAATGTGGTTTAAACACCTCCCCCACTCCAAGCTTTGGTAGTTCCATGCCCATCATACTGTATGGAAAGCAGCAAGACAGCCAATGTGACATAGTAACAGACTAGGATCTGGGAGACCCAAGTTTGAACACCCGCTCAGCCATAGAAGCTTGCTGGGTGACCCTGGGCCAATCACTCTAATCTACTCCACAGGGGAGTGGCTATGAGAATGAAACGGAGGAGGGGGGGGAAACGATGTTGTAAGCCACTTGTGGAGAAAAGTGGGGCATAAATATATGCAAATATCTGTCTGCCTTTTTCACTGGGACTTGGTCCCAAGCTGCACTTGAAGTGACTAGTGGGACTCCTACACTTTACTGGACAGATTTTTAGAAATGAAACACAGATGTTGTTTGGAAGATTATGGGGCTGCAAACCTAAAGTGGGAGGATATAGGCCATTGTGGTTTGGACTCCTGAGTCGATTTATATATCTTGATAAAAGGCAACAGGGGGATACTTAAGAAACTGGCATCCCTTTAGGTTTTTTTTTTGTGGGGGGGCTTTACATAAAGCCAAAGTAGATTTAATAGTGGGTTGGATCCAGCCAGCTTTTTAACTCATTCTCACCCATTTCTCCTCTGCACTCCATACCTGTCTCACAAGGCTTTTACATATGCAGGTCCCATGATCCACACCATTGCCTTCTGGTAGTCAGAGCTGAAAAACTGGTTGGATTCAACCCCATGTGGTCCCATGATTATGCCGCACCAGGTTACAGCTACAGTATTTTGTATTTTGTATTTCTCCCTTGTCTATTAAAGAAAATGGCTTTGGAATAATCCTCTGTTATGGCATGAGAAGGAGCTGCGGTGGCTCAAGTGGTTAAGACGCTGAACTGCTGCAGGCTGTGGAAGGTCAGTAGTTCAGCAGTTCGAGAACCGGGTTGCCACATGACGGAGTGGGCTCCCGTCTCTAGTTCCAGTTCCTGCCAACCTAGCAGTTCGAAAGCAAGAAATTGCAAGTAGAAGAATAGGTACCACTTCGGTGGGAAGGTAACAGCGTTCCATGCACCTTGGTGTTTAGTCATGCCGGCCACATGACCACGGAAATGTCTTCGGACAGCGCTGGCTCTTCGGCTTTGAAACGGAGATGAGCACCGCAACCCTAGAGTCGGACTCAACTGGCTTTTGAGCAAGGGAACCTTTACCTTTACTTTATGGCATGAGAAGAGTGGAATGGGCTGTGGGCCACAGAACCGATTGCTATGTCATCACCACAGGAGATGATGCTCCTGCCATAACATTGAAGCCAGTCAAACTATAATTCTGACATAACAATTAACGTGCCTGCAGGCCGTCTGGGCACGCCTTGAATTATCTCCTGAACGGAATGGAAAACAAAACCACCAAGCCAAAAACAAAACAGAACATCCTTGCTTTTGACAAGGCATTAAGGGGTGGAAATGCTACCCTGAAACATCTGTTAGGGTAGTTATTGCATTCAGCACTGTTTGTTCATGGATTTTTGCCTGCACTTTTTTGTTTTAAAAAAGCAAACTGGAGCGTATTGTGGGTGAGGGAAGAATGTTGGCTCCTCTCTTTTGCCTTTTTACAGTTGCCAGTTCATCCAGCCTTCAGAAAGAAGAAGAGCTATGACGGTGCCTCTCCTTGGGAAATGCCAGCATTTTTTCCCCCCTGCTTTGTAGGAAAACGTTTAAAGTGTAAGACCTGGATGTCAGGTTGAAGAGATGCAGCTGGCAGGTGGCAACCAAGGGGATATCA